AGCGCTCGCCCCCGCGTCAGCAGTCCCTGACGTACGTAACCCCCCCTCCGAACTTCCTTCGGCGCCTTCACCGCCGACTCCGCCGAGAGGCCGCTCGAGCACTCGCTCCTCTCGAAGTTCGGCCAGCGGAAGGCCACCACAGCCGCCTCCGCCCCCGCAGCGTCCTCCGTCCCCCCCAACGCCGATAATGTCGTCTCCTGCAGCCGCCCCCGACAAGGAGACCTTAAAACTCCTCCTCCCGCTCCGCTACGATGGCAAGACCGTCATCGAATGCAACCGGTTCCTGTCCCAGTTGCGCATCTACTGGCTGGTCAACACGTCATTGACCACCATCGAACTCAAAGTGCAGGTCGCACTTAGCCTGCTCGATGGAGACGCCCGCGCCTGGGCCACTCCCTACTTTGCCCAGCTTGCATCAGTGCAGGTGGGGGTGCAAGGGGCCACGACCCCATTCGCAAACGAAGCGGCCTTTGCCGCCGCCTTCAGGGCCCGCTTCGGAAATATCGACGACGAGGCGGCAGCACAAGTAGAGCTGGCGAAGCTCTGCGCGGACAAATCGGTCCGTGAAAAACGCACTGCAGCGGAGTTCTCCGCGCTGTTCAAGGGTCCGGCGGACCGTTCCGGGTATGGGGACCTGGAGCTACGCGACAAGTACCTGAGCGGCATCCCCTCCCGCGTCTACCGCAAGATCGAGCTCGAGACCTTCACCACGTGGCAAGCAGCTGAGAAGCGCGCCACTGAGGTCGAGCAGATCCTCGACATCAGCCGGGCCCGTCGGCCCGAGCTAAATAACTTCTTCTCGGCCCGAGGTCGAGGACGCGGTGGGGCACGTGGTGGTGCACCCTCAACGCACGCAGCTTCGGCCAGCATCAACGCGGCCGTCGGAAAAGGCAACTTCCCCGGCACATGCTTTGGCTGTGGGAAGCAAGGGTACCGACGCTTCGAGTGCCCCAATTGTAAGGATAAGCCTTACACAAAACGCGCCGACGCGCGGGCTACGGTTGCCTCGGGATCCACCCAGGCGGCGACAAGCGCCCCCGTCACGACAACACCCTCGACAAGTATAAGTGCCGCTTCAGCGAAATCCGAGCAATCGGAGCTGGCGGACTTAATGGCACAGGTGAAGTCGATGCGCGAGGAGCTCGAACACTATCGGGCGATGAAGGAGGAGGGTTTTTGATCCGGTCCGCGCTTCGTGCCGCACGCGTCGGGCCGGGTATATCATGTAATCGTTATAATGTATTGTCGACTGCAATGGTGTATGAGTTGGACCAGGGGTCCCAGCACTTTCACATTCCAGTTCGACTTCAAGGAAAAAGACGGCACAAGGACGTAATCGCTATGGTGGACAGCGGGGCCACCACGAAGTTCATTAACAAGCGATTCATTATCGAGAATAAGGTGCAAACGCGGAAGTTGAAGGAACCAATTCCGCTGTACAACATTGACGGCACCCTGAACAAGGACGGAAGCATCTCAGAGGTAGCAGTACTACAGATGCATATAGGAGAGCACGTCGAGAAGACGGTGTTCACGGTCACGGACATCGGTCCGGAAGATGTGATTGTCGGGTTGGATTGGCTACGCGAGCACAACCCTGAAATAGATTGGGAAAAGGGCTCCCTCAAATTATCGCGATGCCCTGAAACATGTAGCGCCAGAAGGACTGGCCGAATGGAGCAAGCAGCGACTGCGCGTGATACGGGGGTCAGGCCCACGGCGCGCAGGCGTTCGCCGAAATCCAAACGGTCGGTCATAGGTGCATGCCGGAGTAAGGTGCTCCCGGACTTCGAACCCGAAGACGATCCGGTGGAGATAGAGTGGGACGAAGCTGACTTGATCGAGGCTTGGGAGCAAGGTGTCACGCTTCCCAGCGCTCCTCAGCTGTTCGTTGCGGCAGGACATACATACTCCCAGCTGTTCGCGGAGGAAGAGATCAAAAAGAAGGTCGTTAAAACCGCCGAGGAGTCAGTACCTAAACAGTACCACGAGTTCCTGAATGTCTTCTCCAAGGAGGCATCAGAACGGTTACCCGAAAGGAAGCCGTACGATCATGCGATCGAACTCGTGCCCGGCTACTCGACCTTCCATTCGAAGGTATACCCGTTGTCGAACAACGAGCAAGAGGAACTGGACAAGTTCCTGAAGGAGCAGTTAGCGAAAGGCTACATACGGGAGTCGAAATCGCCCATCTCGTCCCCCTTCTTCTTCATCAAAAAGAAGGAAGGGACACTTCGACCCGTGCAGGACTACCGCCGATTGAACGCGATCACGGTCAAAAATCGTTACCCCTTGCCGTTGATCGCCGAAATGGTGGATAAGCTCCGCGGCGCCACGCTCTTTACGAAGTTCGATGTCCGATGGGGATACAATAACGTTCGGATCAAAGCCGGCGATGAGTGGAAGGCGGCTTTCGTAACTAACCGGGGGCTGTACGAACCCCTGGTAATGTTCTTCGGTCTCACCAATTCCCCCGCGACCTTCCAAGCGATGATGAACGAGATCTTCCACGATCTCATCATCGGTGGCAAGATCCTCGTATACTTGGATGACATACTCATCTTCTCCACCAACAAGGAGGAGCATGAAAAGGTCACACGCGAGGTTCTGCGCCGCCTTCAGGATAACGATCTGTTCCTGAAGCCTGAGAAGTGCGAATGGGATGTTCCCAAGGTCGACTACGTCGGCTATGTGTTCGGTGGCGATGAGGCAGCGATGGATCCCGCGAAGCTAAGAGGAATTAATGAGTGGCCGGTACCCCGGAACAAAAAAGATGTTCAGAAGTTCCGGGGGTTCTCCAATTTCTACCGCCGCTTCATTAAAGACTTCGCTAAGATCTCGCGACCACTCGACCGGCTCACAGGGAACGACCCATGGCATTGGGGCGAGGAAGAGCAGCGCGCCTTCGACGAGCTCAAGCGGCTCTTCGCGACGACTCCAGTCTTAGCGCTGTACGACCCTAATCGGGAAACGCGCATTGAAGTCGATGCCTCGGGGTACGCCACCGGCGGCGTGTTGATGCAGAAGCAGGACGACGGCAAATGGCACCCTATCGCCTACCGATCTCACGCTATGGACCCAGCCCAGCGTAACTATGAGATCTACGATAAGGAGATGCTCGCGATCATTGAGGCACTGGATGATTGGTGCCACTATCTCGAGGGGTTGCCTAATCAGTTCGAGATCGTAACCGATCATAAGAACCTCGAATACTGGCGCACGTCCCAGCATCTCACGCGTCGTCAAGCGCGGTGGTCGCTGTTCCTAGCTCGCTTCGACTTCCGCATCACGCATAAGGCCGGGACGTCCAACGGAAAGGCTGATGCCCTGTCACGTCGATCAGACCATCAGATCGGCGATGAGGACGATAACACCGATCAGGTGGTTCTCAAGCCAGAGCGCTTCCGCATCGCCTCCGCCCGGCGCGGTCATGCCTCGGTGACGGCCGATCAGTCGCTTCTAAAGCGCATTCGGGAGTGTTCGGAGAAGGATCGGGAGGTGGCCGAGGCACTTGAAAAGGTGCAGGACCTCGGGCCGCCCCGGCTGCAAAGAGGTTTTGAGGAGTGGAATGCCGAACAAGGGCTTCTGCTGTTCCGCGGGTGCGTGTACGTCCCAAAGAACGCGGAGCTCCGGCGGGATATAGTCAAAATCCACCATGACTCGCCGATCGCCGGTCATGGCGGTCGTGCCAAAACCCTGGAGCTCATGTCGCGGAACTACTGGTGGCCTGGAATGTCTAAGTTTGTCAATGAGTACGTAAGCACTTGCGACGTGTGCAACCGTACCAAGACATTCCCAGCCAAGCCCCAGGGTCCGCTGAAGCCGAACGAGATCCCTGAGCGCCCGTGGCAGATCATCACGACCGATATGATCGTCGGCTTGCCGAAGTCTGATGGATTCGACTCGATCCTGGTCACCGCCGACCGCTTTACCAAGCAGGTCCACTTCTCGGCCTGTCATGAGACCCTGACGGCAGAAGGTGCGGCAGACCTGTACATCCGCGATGTGTTCAAGCATCATGGGGCCCCGGCCAAGGTTATATCAGACCGAGGTCCCCAGTTCGCTTCGAAGTATCTCCATGCGGTGTACAAAGGACTCGGGATCGAGCCGGCGCTGTCTACGGCGTTTCATCCTCAGACAGACGGCCAGACTGAGCGCTGGAATCAGGAGATCGAGCAGTACCTGCGCGCTTTCACAAGCCACAGGCAGGATGATTGGGCGAAGCAGTTGCCGCTCGCGGAGTTCGCATTGAACAACCGAGTTCACTCCGCGACCGGGCACTCCCCTTTCTACCTGCATCAAGGATACAATCCTGAGATCCAAGTGCGGATCAATCCGATGTCTGCGATGCCTGCGGCCGCTGATCGGCTCAAAATCCTGAAGGAGATTCGCGATGATACGCGCTCTGCGCTCGAGCTGTCAGCCGAGCGTATGAAAGTATACTACGACAAGCACGTGCAGGAGGCACCGGTCTTTGCGCCGGGGGACAAGGTCTGGCTCGACGCTCGGAACCTTAAGCTGAAACAGCCGAGCAAGAAGCTCAGTCCCAAGCGCCTCGGACCATATGCCGTGCGGCGAAAGCTCGGAGACCTGGATTATGAATTAGTCCTGCCGAAATCGGTGCCGGTACACCCGGTGTTCCATGTCTCCTTGCTTAGCAAGTATACGCGTAGCGATATCCCGGGCCGGGAGCCGGAGGAGCCGCCTGCGATTGAGGTTGAAGGCGACGAGGAGTACGAGGTTGAGCGGATCAAAGATTCGCGGATCTTCCGGCGTCAACTGCAGTACCTCGTCAAGTGGAAGGGTTATGACGACTCGCATACGTCATGGGAACCAGCGCGCAACGTAGCCAATGCGCCGGCCCTCATAGCCGACTTCCACCAGAAGAATCCGAATGCCCCTCGCCGCCTCAACGCTGCTGTCTTTGGTGGTCTCAACTTCCAGCCAATACCTTCGCCGCTAACTGAGGCACGCTGTCGCTCCGGATGGGAGATGGGCAAGGGCGCCTCGCATGAGGTCATGCGCCGTTGAGGGGGGGGTAATGTCACGAGTTGGTACGGCGCCTAGCCGTTTTTTAATTTTTCCTTTTTGCGGGCTCGAACCCGCGACCTCTGTACTACTGGCCTGATATGGACACTTCGTTATCTACTGTACGATTAGATTAGATGGGGCGGCAGCGCACGGCACAGCTCGGGCTCCGCTGACACAGCCGCTCTGACTCACCGGCCCCCAGGGCCGCG